CTGTTCCCAGAAAATACGAGCACGCCAACGAGCATTTCCTTCGACTGCGTCACATGAACCTGCATGTCATTGTTGTAGTTGCTGGCAGTGGACCAAACACGGGGCAGGTTTCTAAAATGGGAGAAATGGCAAAACAGTGGCTGACACACGAGATTGATATGGATCTTTTTTTTTTTTTTTTTGTGTTGCATGGTTTTTTTTTATGTATCACTGTTATTGTGATATGACACTTTTATATTACCTAAAAATTTATAGCATTATTAATGATTAGGGTCTGGCTAACTTCAGGTTTAATCCTGGATTTCCAGTGTTTTGGAGCTGGTTTACTTCTTATGGGGTACATTACTGTGGCAATTTACACTCGCCTAATCTCCTCAGGAATGGGGCATGTTTGAGACAAGAGATCAACATGTTTGAAATCGCGTCCCATGGAACAATTATTTCTATGAAATAATGCATAAAGATCAATTAGAGCTTAGTGTGCAGATATTAAGAAAATCTGAAGTTTGTCTCAGCATCGGTAAGAAATAGAGATTCTTGAGGGCAACTTTATTCCTTGCTTCTTTCCTGTTGACTGCAAACAATATTAAAGCAACTTTATTGTTGTATAGGCTGTAATACATTGAAATGATACTAAAACAGGCAATTTAAACCTTTTCGTTTCTGACGTCATGAAACATTTGCAAGTTGGCTACTTACCAGTTTGAAATCTTTTATTTTGTTAAATTTTGTCTCTACTTGCCCTTAGACTATTTCAAATTGCGGAGACTGAGTGAAAGAAGCGGCAAATCTAAACGTCATTAGCTTCTTTTTATTGTAATATAGTAATGAGGTCTTCCCAGATCTTTGACATTAAGTTTGTTGCCTTAAATTATCAAAATTTGTACACACTTTACTATTTACTTTAATCATTATTACTTTAAGACATATATAACAATACTTTAAAATACACAGCGCTTTTCTTCTCACACAGACTGACACTGCTGTTTTGGCTACAGAAGTTGTGTTGCAGCGAGTCTGTATTATCGGTTTACCTACTTTATGTTATATAATGCTAATTTTATAGCATGATAGTATTCATAAACTATGCCCCTCAGCTGCTAATAGACCGGTTCATGTTTCTGGTTGGTCATGCTGCCATTGCTGCCTCTTTCATGTGAATGTGGTCATAGCTAGATCGAAAAACCCCTGTTTGACTTATTTGATAACCACCTTGGTGAAGCTAGGTACAAAAAAGATATTCTGCATGTGTTTAGCTTGCTTTGTCTGTTGTAGACTTTTGTTCAAATCATTTTCATACTCTGTGGATAAGTCACTGTCATGCTAGAGGAGTGCATTCCCACCAGGATAGAAAACTTTATCCTTCAGATACACTTTAAGGATTTGCACCCAAATCCTGCCAGCAATACGTACAAGAAGGCATAACGGAGCCACAAGATCCTCTGTCTGCAGGAGTTAAATGTTGACGTTTTTATTTTCCTTTGCTGCCTGTGTGTGTGTGTGTGCACACATTTGTAAGCATGTGTTCAGTTAACATACAATTTAATGAAGTGTATCTTGAATAAGTGTCTGTGTGTGTCTGTGAGTGCCTGCCGTGAAAGAGTTAAGCGTGTCCGTGTGTAAAGTTTAATAATCCTTTGTCTTTGTTCCAGGACACATTGATTGTCTGGTCAGAAGCAGATAACTATGACCTTGCACTCAGTTTCCAGGAAAAGGCTGGCTGTGATGAGATCTGGGAAAGAATTTGCCAGGTAAAACTCAAACCAGGAACATACAGCTGTTTCACTGATGCTAAAATTCCATTGAGCCTACCACAATGGGCAAGCTCTGTTGATCTATTTAATAGTTTGTGTACTGGACAAATTACTGAGAAACGTTAACCTGTGCAAAGAGGTGACTGTACACATGATACTATCAATTGTGTTCATTTAATAATAGCTTTTATTTGTGACTCAGGTCCAAGGTAGAGACCCTGCTCTGGACATCACCCAGGACCCCATTGATGAGTCTGAGGAAGAGCGCTTTGAGGAGATTCCAGAGACAAGCCACTTAGTTGAGCTCCCCCCTTGTGAGCAAGGCAGACTGGAGGAAATTGCCGACTTGGTTACCTCTGTCCTTTCCTCACCCATCCGGAGGGAAAAGCTTGCCCTGGCCCTGATGACTGAGGGCTACATCAAGAAACTCCTGGGTCTCTTTAGAGTATGTGAGGAAGTGGACAACAGGGAAGGCCTCCATCACCTCTATGAGATTGTCCGAGGCGTCTTATTTCTCAATAAAGCAGCCCTCTTTGAGGTGATGTTCTCTGACGACTGTATCATGGATGTGGTGGGCTGCCTGGAGTACGACCCAGCATTGGTTCAACCTAAACGCCACCGGGAATTCTTGACCAAGACGGCGAAATTTAAGGAGGTGATCCCTATCACAGACTCTGAACTGCGGCAGAAGATCCACCAGACATACAGAGTTCAGTACATCCAGGACATAATCCTGCCCACACCATCTGTCTTTGAGGAGAACTTCCTATCTACACTCACCTCCTTCATCTTCTTCAACAAGGTGGAAATTGTCAGTATGTTGCAGGTAAGGATTCAAACCAAGCTATTTATAAAACAACATTATGAGTTAATTATTTAATCCACTTTATAGTTTAGCCAGTACATATACAGTATTGCTGTACATGTTGTGACTAATTAAAATTTGTTTGACAAATGACCCTGCTTGTAGATTAGCCCACCAAGATGACTCATGCTTAAAACCAAATTAAATTTTTTTTCTTTAAATGTATTTAATTCTCATGTGAAATGTTAAATCAAGTGGGAAAGCTCAAATAATAAGTGTGAACAGATGGAAATGTATAAGCCTGTAATGACTGTACAAATAATGTATGCGTAAGATGTGTGTGTCAAGTTTTGTATTGTGATGATGACCAATTAAAACTATACATTAAAACATTTTCAAAATCTTTGAGTGAATAGGTTTAGGCCCATTGTAACACTTGTATGTGGATTGTAATATGGTGCAAATCTGAGGCATATGTTCTGAACAATAATTTTTATACCACACAATTATTTTCATGGTGTAAACAAACAGGACCTTAGAATTCTTTCATTTCACAGTCAGGTGACTGATTTAAATTTTCTGTACGGTTCTAGGACTCATGGGTTTATTGCTGGAATAATTTGCCTTTCATTCTTGTGCTGAAATTGCAAGTCAGGATTAGATTTTCTGTTTATTTTTAAGACATGCTTCTTTATTGTTCTGATGTTTTAACCCGGCTTTAAATGTGCCGCAGGAGGATGAGAAGTTCCTAACGGAGGTCTTTGCACAGCTCACAGATGATGCGACTGAGGACAGTAAAAGGAGAGAATTGGCAAGTTTTAAGAAGTTTTTTGTTGTTGTTGTTGTTGTTGTTGTTGTGTTTTTTTTGGGACATATGTTGAAACCTCAAAGTAGTTGCCTTTCATAACCATGTTTGAGAAATGAGCCCAGAAATGGCGGTAGGCACAGTGATTTTTATTTACGACCAGTTTAATTATTTTGATCTTTGCATTTCTCATTTATATTGTCATTTATCTATCTCATTTTTTTTCCTCCTCTCCTTAGGTGAACTTCGTCAAAGAATTCTGTGCGTTTTCACAAACGTTGCAGCCTCAAAACAGGGATGCGTTCTTCAAAACTCTGGCAAATCTAGGCATTTTACCTGCTCTTGAAATAGTAATGGTACGTTATAGTTCTGGCATGAATGTGTATCTGAGGTAGTCTTAATAAAAGTCTTTTTTGATTGGTCAATGCTCAGTTGAATTAACTTCTTTTTTTTTTTTTTTTTTTTTTTGTTCAGGGAATGGATGACTTGCAGGTGAGGGCAGCAGCTACTGATATCTTCTCTTACCTGGTGGAATTCAGCCCCTCCATGGTTAGGGAATTTGTCATGCAGGAACCTCAGCAGACAGATGATGTAAGCATCTAATCATTATTTTTAAAAAAAAAAAAAACTTTCTCTTTAATGAAAGCAGTGTTTTGGCAGCCCAGGCTCTCTCAGTTTCAAATAGTTCATTACCACATCAGGCATGTAGAACAGTCCATAACTGAGGTGAAATCTAAATAAGGAAAACTGTTTGCTTTATGAACAATGAGGGAAACGAGGTGTTTTGTATTGTGACAACAGCCTGTCACTGTTGGGGCTCACGTGATGTGCTCAATTTTTACTACAGAGCCATAACATTTGAAGGCATTTTATAGCTGATACACAATTTACATGTTTGATAAAGTAGTATAAAAACACAGAACTGTTATAGAGAATTACTGAGACAAAGTTTGATTAACTTTCTTTAGTGTCCTCTGTTGATCTTCTGTTCTGTGTACAAGAAGGCTTTTTTTGTTTGTTTTAATACTGTGTGTTTGCCCTGTTTTTTTGAGAGAGACAGTTTTCTTTTCATGCCATGCAAAATTTATTTTTAATCTGAGCGCGCTACTGTGTTAACTTCTCCTTTGTTTGCTTTGTGTATTTGTGTTTCAGGATGTTCTCCTGATAAATGTTGTGATTAAGCAGATGATTTGTGACTCTGACCCAGAGCTGGGGGGAGCTGTCCAGCTGATGGGTCTGCTCAGGACACTCATCGACCCTGAGAATATGTTGGCTTCCACCAACGTAAGCAAAATCAACCAGATTTTTGTTGATTTCTTCCCCTTTCCTTTTTCTCCAGCCATTGCTCAATGTTGATCACTCTGCTTTTTCATTTAAATCAGTTGTTCTCAGACTTTTATTTGGTGTGACTCATTTCCCCACACTTTTTAGTCATTAACAATGAAGAAAGGATCCAATTTAGTCAAATTAGGGTCAGTGGAGTCTTCTGTATTTAAAAAAAGCAAAGTCTACAAAGTCAAGTTTATTCAACTTAGTTTCACGCATTATTTTTACCCACCTGCAGTGGCTCTGCCAGTGAGTCCTGCCTCACAGTTGAAGAAACACTGATGTAAAGCAGCACATTTATGGTGCCTACCTCATTGTTATCTGACAAAACCCCCCATCTGTGTCTCCATATGTCCGTTACCACCGCTAGATTAAGTATATGTGTCCCCTGAGTGAAACCTTAAACACTTATTAAAGTTTTTTTGTGTTTGTTTTTTCTGCTAGAAAACTGAGAAGACAGAGTTTCTGAGTTTCTTCTACAAATACTGCATGCACGTGTTGACTGCTCCTCTGCTGGCCAACACTGCACTTGACAAAAATTCAAAAGGTGAGCTGGGAAGTTAAACTAGGGTACAACAGACTGGAAGAAAGGAAATTTCACTGTTTAATCTATGTAATCACATTTCAGATCTGCAGGAGGGATCAACAAAGGTCAACCCAGTGTGCCCAGGTGGGTGTTATTTAAACTGTCAACCATGAACAACAGTTAGAAATTTGTGCATTTGAAGTGGCTTGAAAGTACTGCTCTTGTAGTAGACAACATCATTATATTATTTGTTTTTACCTGAACCCTTCCAAAATAAATAACCAGCAGCTCTTACTAAGGGTGTGGTTCTTTTTCTTTTAGAGGACGTGAATAAGAAATAAAATGTTAAGCTAGTCACCAGACTATAGGAACAGCTTCAAATTATTAAGGAAGATGCTGAGGATCACAAAATCTGGAATGACTCTTAAAACCATATATTAAAGGATTGTACACTTGCTGTCTGGCTTGTATTTGGAAATGTACCTGGACAGTGCTGCATGTCCTAACACGATTTGTCTTTATTTGTGTAGACAACTTCCAGACAGCTCAGTTGCTGGCACTGATCCTGGAGCTTCTGACCTTTTGTGTGGAACACCACACCTATCACATCAAGACCTACATCATGAACAAAGACCTGCTTAGAAGAGTGCTGGTGCTGATGAACTCAAAGCACACGTTCCTTGCTCTTTGTAAGTTCCCTGTGTTCTGATAGCGACTACATTGTGGTTGAACCTCATATACAGATATAACCATACCAGAGCTGTGCAACTGCTGTTTGTATCCAAGCTCACAGAAATAATACAGATAAGACTTTGAATCATATCGTGCCTCGTTTTTTTTACAAAGTGGCTCTGTTTTTGTCCAAGGTGCTCTGCGTTTCATGCGCAGAATCATTGGTCTAAAAGACGAATACTACAACCGCTACATCATCAAAGGGAACCTGTTTGAGCCTGTCATTAATGCCTTGCTGGACAATGGGACCCGATACAACCTCCTCAACTCTGCCATCATAGAGCTCTTTGAGTTTATTAAAGTGGTATGTAAAAGCACAAAGGCTACTTTAACAAGCCTTTGTTTTTGCATTAAATATATAATGATCCACCTTTTGCTTTCCAGGAGGACATCAAATCACTCATAGCTCACATCGTGGATAACTTCTACAAAGCACTTGAATCCATTGAGTATGTCCAGACATTCAAGGGCTTGAAAGGACGATATGAACAGGAAAAAGACCGGCAGAGCCAGAGACTCAACAGGTCAGAAGCAAGGGTCATTCCCTTACTGTGATCTTTATCACTCATGCACTCCACCACATAAATTTACATGTATATATGCCGACTTTACATAGTTTTCTATTCCCATTTTGTGCACACCCCTACCGAATTTCTGCATGTTTTAGTCAACCTCTGTTAACCCTTGTGCTTGTCATCATTGTTCAGCTTCATAACCTTCATTTATATTTAATCAGAGACTTATTACCACAAGGTAGTACTTCCCCTTGTGTAGACACCTGTACCTCATGAAGCAGTTTTCTCAACTGTAGATATCGAAGAGATGCGCGGCCTTTGGATGAGGATGAAGAGTTGTGGTTCAATGACGATGATGACGATGACGATGGAGAGGCAGTGGAGAAGAGAATGGGGGATGACTTCTCTGATAGCTACGGCAAGTACATGGAAGCCAAAAAAGGTAAGCTATATTCTCTTACTGTATGAATGTTGCTGGATAGTTTTTCCCAGATTGTTGCATGATCCTAGTTTGTGTTGTAGGAGCTGCCAACGGAGCCAATGGTGCCAATAACAATGGGAAAGCTGCTGCCCTCCCACCTGCCTCACCAGCCGTCACTCCAAACAACAGTTCAGCTTCTTCTGTCAAAACTGTTCCTCTTCCTGCCACACCAGTAGTCAAGGTAATATTTCATGTTGCATTCTGAGAAAGACTTGAATTCCTATCCTGTCCTATCCTAATCCTTTGTCCAATTTTGGGACAGTATAACAAAGGACAGTCTTTAATTTTCTGTGTTGCACAATATGTTTCGAGTGGTATCACAACATGAATGCAGATAAAAGTTACACAAGTTACTTGTTGTTTGACTTCACTGGTCAGAATAAGTAAAATGTGAGTGAAATTTAGAACACTATGTTTCAGCACTAATAGCTGTCCTGCGCTCCTGCAAAAGTACATGTTGAAATGAAACAGTCACTCTTGTTGTTGTCTTAGACTGCTCTGGTTGGTTTGGTGGACTACCCTGACGATGAAGATGAAGAGGAAGATGATGAGGAAGAAGACCAGTCTCCAAGGAAGCGGCCTCGTTTGAGCTCCTAAGGCGAATTGTCCTCTTTGGTCATGGTGGACGGACATTGAGTCCCTTTGAAATCCCCTCCTCTGGTTGTCTCATTGGCTGCCTGCCTGTGCCACCTGTCTCACTGAAGAAATGGACAAAGATGAGCTCCCACCTCTCTCAGTCCCTTCTGATTGCTGCTCCAGCTTCTCCCTCGGCAAAAGGAGATGAAGAGTTGCTTTTGTTTTGTTTTGTTTTTGTTTTTTTAAAGAAAGAAGGATCAATCTGTGTCTCAGCCTGTTTACCTCTTCCTTTTCAACAACCTCTTCAGGGAGATTCCCAAATCTCTTTTCTTCCACCTGAGAACCTCATTGACCCTTTGAGAATTCATCTCTCCCCTCTTTCACTCCTTCCTGCTCTCCTTTCCTGTTCTCACTTATTCCTCCTCACCCACAACCCTAAACACCAACAAGACATTGAAGTTTGAATTGGTGGCACAGCAGTTCCCAGCTCTACAGGGCTAAGGAAGCTGCAGTCCAACAAGAGCCCCACTGCGCCTGTCACCTCTTATTTAAAAAAAATAAATAAAATAAAATAAAAAGCCCTTCCATACTTCTCAAATCCAAATCGATGAGCTCCAGAGAGAGAGGAAGTCAGATCACAACCAGCCAGTGTATGAACTTGACAGCAGGTCAGTCAGGCTAGCAGGACTAGCCGTCATAGTAATAGAAAGCTTGACTGGCTGAAGCTGTGTGTGCCGCCCTCCCAGAGAACTACTTACTTTAGTCATGGATAGAGGGACATCATAGAAAAATCCCCAAATTCTTAAGACAAGGGAGCTGACCAGTGAGACTGGGATGAAGACTAAGAGCGAGAGGAGCAGGACTCAAACCTTCAAAAGCCATGTTGTCAGTTTGGTCGAGGCACACACACAAACACACACACACACATGATGATACATGCACATACAAGACTGTGTTAGCCAGGAAGTCCTGTATTTCATGACTTTGTTAAAAAGTACTGTACAGATCTTTTTGTTCCTCTTTTTAATCTTTTGCCCCTGACGTGATTTTTGAAAGGGGAGCGAGACCCCTACCTGCCTGTGTTCTTTTTGTTGTCGCACAAAAAGGTGGGGTCACTGTTCACCCTTTAGTACAGTTCATTTGATTCAGTGTACAAATACAGAGAAGTCCTAAATGCTGGTTTAAAAATAACAAAAAAACTTGCAGTAAAGTTGTTTCTTTTTTTCAGTCAACATTTCGAGGATGTCTGGAATTTTGTACTTAAGTCAAACTTGGCGTCCTCGTTACAGTGTGCACATCATCAGCCCAGTTTGTGTTTTAAAAGGGTGGCAAACCTGAGTCGTTCATCCTTCTCCCAGACAGATCTCAGGTTCAGAGTTTAACTTGCATCAGAAACAAAAAGCTGCCCACCTTGTTGTGGCACAGCTGGTATAAAAGATGGATGTAGCCAGTGGCGTCACCCACTGGTTTGTGAAGTCCTGTTATGAAGCCTTGAGCTTAGCCTCTTGTAGTTTTAAAACCAGGTGTGAGAAG